ATAATTTTCATTTAGTTTTAGTTAAAAGTAAAATAGATAAAAACCTATAAAAGCTTTAACTTTATTTATATATATATATAATATTTGAAATTTAAACCATATAGAAATGTCTACTTCAAAAGAAATAAAATAAAATAAATACACTACATAAATGTGCAGTACTTACTACCTTTGTTTTGTGGGGTTGGGGGTGGACAAGACTTAATATTGTGATGTATTTTGAAATCTTCTGCTTCTCCAATAAATATATCTTGATTTCTGAATGTTTAAATGTTCGTCCTGAAAAAATAAAACGTAGTCATAAGCATCAGCATCAGACTGAACTGAGTGTTTCTGAGTCTGATGTGTGTTTTCTGAACATTTGTGTCTGTTTTTCCTCCATCAGATGAAAACCACACCATGACCAGTGAAACCAGCAGTCTGGTCCAGTCCCACACACACTCCTATAAGAAGCGAGAGGCGCTGGACGTCCCGTATCAAACGGGTCAACTCCATCCGGCCATCAGGGTGGCAGATCTGCTGCAGCACATCACACAGATGAAGTGTGCGGAGGGATACGGCTTCAAGGAGGAGTACGAGGTGCGGATAAATACATTTATTCACTTACACACACAGTACGTCTGCATATGGGGGAAATAGGAGTTGAATTTGTCATGTTTTTTCCTGGGAGTAATATTTATGAAGGAGCTGTTGACATGGGATTTAACCTGATTTAGGTAAAAACTTAAACAAAACATTTACATTTAGTCATTTAGCAGACGCTTTTATCCAAAGCGAAAGTGATTTTTTTCTCTTCCCTCTTTGGGATGGAACCACGAGGCGACGTTCATTCACAGAACGCAAGTTTCTGGAGGACACATACATCTGCAGAAGTGAGAGCAGATAAGAAGGAGCAAAGCCAGAAGTTGCTTTGTAAGCAAACATCAGAGCTTTGAATTTGATGCGAGCAGCAACTGGCAGCCAGTGCAAACGGATGAGGAGCAGAGTGACGTGTGCTCGTTTAGGTTCATTGAAGACCACTCGTGCTGCTGCGTTCTGGAGCAGCTGAAGAGGTTTGATAGAGTTAGCTGGAAGCCCGGCTAGTAGAGAGTTGCAGTAATCCAGTTTGGAGAGAACAAGAGCTTGAACAAGGAGTTGAGCTGCATGTTCAGATAGGAAGGGTCGGATCTTTCTGATGTTATAGAGTGCGAATCTGCACGATCGAGCAGTTCTAGAGATGTGGTCAGAGAAGTTTAGTTGGTCATCAATCATTACTACAAGGCTTTTCACCATTTTGGATGCAGTAATGTTTGCCCCATCCATCGGGATTGGGGCAACCAATCCAGATCCAATACAAACATTAAAATAAAACAAACTAATCTGAAGCATGAATTGTGTGTATTAACAATGACAGAAGGAGAAAGTGCTGAACTACTGAAACGTGTTCAACACTTTATATTAAAGGCTTTATTAATGCAGGCAGCTTAAAGACACCTCTCATATGGAGAATGAAGCCTCCTGCAGTGCTCAGGTGTGAGTTTCTCACAGACTTCAACAGAGTGTCTAAATCTTGGTGCTTCTGTGGGTCTCGTCTATCAAATCTGAGCTTTATTCTGCATTTCCTATTGGATTCGGCTCAGGTGATCGGCTGGGCCATTCTACAGCTTGATTTTCTTTCTCTGAAAGCATCTGAGAGTCTCCTTGGCTGTGTTTTGGATCATTGTCCTGCTGAAATGCTTCATCTCCTGCTGATGTAGATGTTGGACTGAAGCAGCTGATATCTGTTTACACTGAGGAAGGGCAGAGGTTTGCTGAAGAACTACTGAGAGATTTCAGCTGCTGACTGGGCTTCACTGCCCAACTACACCTCCCTTTCTTTCTTCTGTTTCAGTTTCCTGAATTTTTGTCCTTTAAAACATCACAAGAAATAGTAATGCAGAACGAAATTACATTGCATCAGACCCAACATAAAAAACATCAAACACTTTAAAACCTAACATTAATAAGCTTTCATCATTTCATAAATACATAAAAATATAGTTATATTAAATATAGCTCAATTTTAAAAAAAATCACCGAAGAGAATAAATTAATACTTAAAGAGTGTAACGAGGAGACTGACACGGAGGGATCCATTATGCAGTATTTATTAATCACACTCTTACTCAAACACTCAATATGCACAAAGGTGCAAACACACATCAACAGTAGTAGTAATGGTTTCAAGGCTGGCGGCTGACTGACACAGAGTGATTTACCAGCCATGAGTCAAAGGCAGGCGGCGTGATTCAGAGTCCGTGTATCAGGCTTGGGTCGAGGGCAGGCAGCGAGTATCAGAGTCCGTGTATCAGGCTTGGGTCGTGGGCAGACAGAAGGCAAAGCAGAGTCAGAGACGGGCTGGAGTAATACACAGGAGATCAGGCAGGATATAACGCTCAGTAATGCTGGCCGGGGCTGAACAAGACTTCGCACTGACTGACTGTTTAAGTGCGGCTTATAAAGGGTACGTGGGTCGTTAACTGAAATGGGAATCAGGTGTGCACGATCACTGTAAGTGGATGATGTAATGCTAGAAGTCCGGAGATGGCAGCCTCTGCTGGCCAGCGAGGGGAATGACTGGGACCGAGTCGGTGACAAATAGCTATTGCAGAGTTTGTTATAATAGTTATAATATTCAAAGTTTTTGCTAGTTTAACTATTTATTGATTTATTACTACATACTAGCTTAGCAATAGTATTTAAGATATAGTATTATTTAAAAGTCTTATAATGACAGGATAAAAACTATCATGACACCGCACTGATTTGCTCCTCAGGCTTCTGTACCGCCTGCCTGATGGCATGAGCGTGGCCAGGGTGGCTTGGATCCCTTAAAATGCTGTTTTCCCTAGACAGACAACGTTGTTGAGAGTTCCTCAATAGATGTCATTTTGACTCCAACAGACCTTTCATCTGACTTGATTATCTTCTTAAAGCTGTTCTTGTCAGATACACTGCTATTCTCATACCAAAGGGAGATGCCATCAGGGAGAACGCTCTCAACAGCTCCTCTGTAAAAACGTGTGAGGATTGATGGGCTGAGATGTCCTCTTTTTAACCTTCTCAGAAAAAGCGCACCAGCCAGCGACCACACTCTTTGCAAGACTAGTAGTATGGAGAGAACAAGTCAAGTTCTCAGTAACGTTGACCTCCAGGAATTTCACCTGCTCTACAGTCTCCACTGCTGTGTAGTTAATATATACAGGGGAGTTCTTCATCTGTTCAATATTTTTCCTTGTGTCACTTCATTTTATGACGCATAACTTCATTGGTAAACTAATTAGATTGCTTTTCTTTGCATATATTGATTGTTACCAACATCTGGTGAACATTTCAAGTCAACAGCAACTTTAGAAATATGTTTCCTGAAAAAAATAGACGTGATCAATACTTATTTCCACCACTGTGCTTAAGGCCCGTTTACACCAAACACAATTCAATATGAGGATTTGTGTCCACACAGACGAACAGCGGATGATGATCGGTTTATTTGTAGAACTGCTGTGAACTGCTCTTCATCTGTCTGTGTTTTATCCTTCATCAGCCGGGTAAAGTCATTCTGAAAGTGACGATATGTCAGTCCTCGCTGTAGTTATGCTGAGAAATCTGCTAATCTGTCAATCGTTTTTACCACTCCATCTTTATGGTGATCCTGCTTGGTGTGAACAGGCCGTCACACGTGTGTACATCACCAGTGTTGGGTTCATGCATCACCGCATGCTTTTACAGCTTGTGAATAATTTAACCACAAACAATCATTCAGTCATCTTCATGTCACTCCAGATTTGCTTCGACTTTGGGATTGAGCTGAAACACTAAGGAGATGTTTAGTAGAATGATCACACTTCAGTTTATCACCAGGCATATATTTGCATCTCATTTTTTTATCTCAGGAGAAAACTGTGATAAAGGTTTGAAATGACATGAAAGTGAATTAAGTGGTGGATTTGTGGATGAACTATTCTCATGTTTACTGCTAATACCAGATGAAGAGAGTGTTTCGTTGGATTTCTTGTATAAATATCTAAGTGCACTTAAAGCAAGATACATTTAGAATAAAAATAACTTCAGATATTAGGCCCTGTTTTCAGTGAAATGAGTAATTATATGCATAACACAGCAACAAAAACATGTCAAGAAATAAATCAATTAAGTAAACATTTAAACGTAATTACAAGATTTCTTACTCCACAGAGCTTTGAGCATTAAAAAGTGTTTTTGATTTATATAAATGAATTAATGAACAGGAAATTAATTCATTTCACAAGCAGAGATGTTTTAAGAGAAAGAGACTAAATTAAGTTGAGTTAATTAACAAGAAAAAAATTCGCTCTTAACATCAGAAGAAATATAATGCATTTCAAAAGGAGAACTGTTTACATTTTCTCACACCATTAGTAGTAGATATAGAACTTAATTAGATATGTTTGTGTATGTATTTATTTATATTCATTATATATACACTAACTGACAAGAGTCTTGTGGTGGATCTCAGTTGTAAGAGCAACAAATAATAACTGGTCTTCTAGTTGATGATGTGTAAAAGAGTCAGAAGGTGGATTTATGGAAACCACATGGACCAAGATTCTCAGAGAAATCAGTCAAGTTTGGTGAAGGAGACATCATGGTTTGGGGTCATTCAGTATGGAGAGATCTGCAGAGTGGATGATCAACATCAACAGCCTGAGGTATCAAGACATCTGTGCTGCCCATTACATTACAAACCACAGGAGAGGGACAATTCTCCAGCAGGATAGCGCTCCTGCTCATACTTCAGCCTCCACATCAAAGATCCTGAAGGTCAAGCTGCTCCAGGATTGGCCAGCCCAGTCACCAGACATGAACATTATTAAGCTGATGAAGGAGGAGGTGTTGAAGATGAACACAAAGACTCTTGATGAACTCTGGGATCCTGCTGAAGGCTTTCTTCTTCATTCCAGATGACTTTATTAATCAGTGATGTGAGTCATGTCAGAGATGTATGGATGCAGTCCTCCAAGCTCATGATGGAGTCAGACACAATCTTCATTCTGTCTCCACTGCAGCAGGACTTTATATTCTATACTAGACATTATTTCTGTTCAGTGATGACACTTTAGTCTGAGCAGAGTCAGAGCGCACTGTCCTCATCAAATCAGTCAACATCAAGACATGATCAGATTTATTGAGCTCAAATCAGCAAAATCTAGAGGCCTTCACCTTTCATAGAGACACTTCTGACACCAAATCAGCAACTAGAAGAGCAGTAAGTATTTGTGTTCCTAAAACTAGGCCACAAGACTTCTGTCAGGTTGTGTAGTAAGTAGAAAATGTATTTAATTTATTATGTATATAGATATAATATAGATATTAATTTCTTAATCATATATATTTAAATTCGTTCACAAATCAAGTATTTTTTATTTACATATTTTTTTCTCTAACTTCGAGTCATTTTCTCTTCTGAAGTAGATGTATCGTGATTAGAGAACATTTCGACATTTATACAGTAAACCAGAGGAAAACACTTGATGTTTTTGCAGTATTTTTCACCTCATCTTCATCATCTTCAGCTCCAGATGTGTCGTTTCTGTCCCGAATCAGCTGTAAATCCCACACAAACACATGATGAGCACAGAGAGCACA